TGTGTGTGTGTGTGTGTGTGTGTGTGTGTGTGTGTGTGTGTGTGTGTGTGTGTGTGTGTGTGTGTGTGTGTGTGTGTTCGGCCTCAGGGAAGAGGGAACGCCCTGCTCCGCCCCTCGGCCCGCCCCACCCGAGAACCACCATGGCGCCCACAGATGTTGATCTTAGTACCCGAGAATGTTCTACCTTCTGGGCTAAGTCATCAGACATCCACACTGACCACCGGCTCCCGCAAAATACGCACAACACACATTTCTTATAATGCAAAGAACTGTATTCTAGTACATGCAGTCCCAGGACACATGAGCATCCCCTCTGAATCCCAGAAGTCAGTCATCCATACTGTGTATGCAAGGGGTCCAAGCGTCCAGCATATCTGCTCCCAGAAATCAGCTTCTTGTAAAACAATCCCAGGAGGCAAGCCCTCACATCCCTAGCTCCAGCTAACACAGAGGTCTGGTCCCCCAGCCTTCCCTGAGAGACTCAGCTATGCAAATCTCTCTCTCTCTCTCTCTCTCTCTCTCTCTCTCTCCCTCTGTCTTTCCTCTGTCTCTCTGTGTGTGCTCATGAACCCCGTGTGTATTTGTGTGTATACAGGTGAACTGTGTGTAGGCGTCAGAGGACAACTATATCTTTCCTCAAGTGCCATCCACCATTTTTGGAGAAAGGGTCTCTCACTGGTTTGGAACACACCAAGCAGTCTAGATTAACTACTCATCAAGCTCCAGGGATCCCCCTGTCTCTGCCTCCCCAGGGATGCCATTATAAACAAGCCCCACTGTGCCCAGAATCTTAAAATATTTTATTTATTATTATTATTATTTTATGTGTATGAGTGTATTGCCTGCATGTATGCAAGTGCAACAGTGTCATACAATGCCTGCAGAGGTCAAAAGACGACATCAGATTCATCCTGGAACTAGAGTTACATATGGTTGTTAGCCTCCATGTTGGTGTTGGGAATCAATCCCGGGTCTTCTGCAAGAGCAGCCAGTGCTGTTAACCACTGAACCATCTCTCCAACCCTCTAATTCTTATTATGGTTTATTTTCAGCCACTCCAAGAAATTCCAGCTTTATCATATTTGGCATGATTGATGTATTGGTTACTTTTGAGAACAAAAATATTAGTTTAGAATGTAATGACTGTTCAGTCATACTGGTTTGGTTTCTAAAGTAAACGCAGGGCAGGCTCCTGCCTGTCCTTCTTCCCGAAATGTCAGAATCCCAGACCCCCGATTCCTTCCTTCCTCTGAATCTAGGTTCCAGCCTGTTTCCTTGAAACCCTGCACACCTGGGCCACAGCTGCCTCCTATGTCAACAACAAATCCACCTAGGACCCCTGTCCTCCAGCTCCCATAGGGCTCATGTGTTGGAAGTACAGTGGCCTTGTCACACAAGGTTGGGGAGGCTGGAGCTCAAACCTGTTTTCTTGGGGGATCCAGAGATCTGGGCTCAACAGTATCCAGATCTAGCCTGAATATTGCTGTATGTAGGCTTAGCTTAGGTCTCCAACTCATGGGCCTGGATGGCGGCTGCATTCTCATAGATGACGTTTGCCATATTCTTGTATGTTGCCTCCTTCTGAGTGGTGGCTGGGGCTGACTGCTGGAGAAACCTCAGGATGCACTGGTGGAGGAACACGTACTGGGCCTGGGAAAGATACACAGGATGAGGGTGCTTCCCACAGGGTCCTACAGGCTCCCTCAACACCCATGTCCCTCCAAAGCCCCTCACCTCTGTCTGCACCATCAAAGGACGGCTCTCTCTCATCTTCCTCACAAAGCTCAAGGGCCCCACCAGCCCCTCACACTCCAGCTGCCTGAGCAGGACATCCAGCGCGATAAGGGTGCCTGTCCGGCCCACACCAGCACTGGGCAGGGACAAGACAAGAGTCAGGTGTGTATAAGGGGAGGGAAGTCTGGAGCCCTAGCTCATGGAGCTGTGTTTGGGGGACACCTAGAGACTGTGGTGCTTAACAAGATACTGTTTAGGTGGGAACAGAAGATCAAGTCAGTAACTGCCTAGGATTTTTCCTTCTGTTGGTTGTGTTCTGTGTGCCTTGTTTGATCTTTTCACTCCTCCCAGGCCTAAAGATAAGATCTATTCACATACCCATTTTATAGATGGCAAAATGAAGTTGGGGAGGAGGAGTCATATGTCTCAGGTGATGGGTGGAGAATAGGGTTCAAACACAAGAACTCCTAAGCTAATCTTTAGTTTTCTTTCTTTCCCTGCCCTCTCTCCCTTCCTTCTTTCAGAATGGGTCTTTCTATGTGACCCAGACTGGTCCAGAACTCAGTATTCAGCACAGGCTGACCTCAAACTCATGATCCTCATGTCTCAGCCTCGAAAGTGTTGGAATTACAGGCATGTACCTCCAGATCTTTCTTCATTAAAAAATTACATTTAATTAATTTGTGTGAGTGGTGTGTGTGTGTGTGTGTGTGTGTGTGTGTGTGTGTGTGTGTGTGTCGGGGATAATTTGCAGGAGTCAGTTCTCTCCTTCTGCCTTGTGTGTGCTGGGAGTTGAACTCGGGTACTCAGGCTTGGCAGCAAGCGCCTTCATGCACTGAGCCATCTCACAGGCCCCCAGACCTGTCTTCTCAGTCTGCTTTACAGCCCCCTTGATCTTTGTGCTCACCACCTTCTTTTCTGTCTCCTGTATGAATTCCTGGACAATCACCTAAGTTGAACTCGGGTACTCAGGCTTGGCAGCAAGCGCCTTCATGCACTGAGCCATCTCACAGGCCCCCAGACCTGTCTTCTCAGTCTGCTTTACAGCCCCCTTGATCTTTGTGCTCACCACCTTCTTTTCTGTCTCCTGTATGAATTCCTGGACAATCACCTATTGAGTTCTGAGTCCTAAGGCGGGTTCTCTCCAGAGGACGGGCTTCCAGGGTGGTGCTCACCTGCAGTGAACAATGGGCGGGCCTCCACCTGCGGTCTGATCCAACCACTGCCGAACCACCTTCCAGAAAGCCAGCAAGGGGTCTGGGGAGTAAGGAACTCCATGATCTGGCCAGGCCAGGTAGTGGAACTGACGTACAAAGAGGGTCTGCTGCTGCCCCATCTGAAAGAAGGCGAGGGTGGAAGAGGGGAGGGTGGTGTAGAGGCTCCAGAAGATTCTGTGCCCGATGGGTGATTCCCTGGAACACAAGCTACAGGGAGACTTGATGGGGAGTTCTGGGTGGGGTGGGAGGGGCTCACGTGGTAGAGCTGAAGATCCCTCACTGTCCAGTCCTCTGTCACCTCCTCAGCCAGCAGCGTCACCCGCAGCTTCCTGTGAGTGCAGGGCTGAGCATCCAGAGGCCAGTAGTGCTCACACTTCACCTGGGGACAGGGGAGGTCAGCACACAGAGCATGACACCGTTACTGCACGTGTGTGTGTGCATGTTCACATGAATGTATCACACACTGTGTGCATGTGTGTGTGTGTATGCCTGAGGCTGTCATCCAGAGTCACTCTACACCTTCTCCATTGAGGCACGGTCTCTCACTGAACCCACAGCTTGCCTAGCATGTCTAGTCTGGCTGGCCAGCTTGGTCTGTGTGGTGATTTGAATGAGAATGTCCCCCATAGGCTCCAAGTATTGGACATTTTGTCCCCAGTTGGTGGTATTGTTTTGGGAGGTCTTAGAAGGCATGGCCATGTGGGAGAAAACACTGGCGGTGGGCTTAGAGAGTTCTTAAGCCTTGCTGGATCTCTGATCACTCTACTTCCTGTGTCTGCTTAAAGATGTGAGAGCTTAGCTTCCGCTCCAGCCACCTCTGCTTCCATGCCTCCCCACCATGATGGACTCCTCCTTTTATAAGTTCCCTTAGTCATGGTGTTTCTATCGCAGCAACAGAAAAATGACTAATACAGTCTGAGATTCCCTGTCTCTGTCTGCCAAGCACTGGAATTCCAGGTGGGCCACCATGCACACCTGGCATTTATGTGGATTCTGGGGGTCCAAACTCTGGTCCTCACGCTTGCATGGAAAGCACTTTATCCACAGAGCCATCTCTCTAGCCTTCTCAAACTCCAGAAGCATAATCTACGGGAACCTCTGTTGTTTATAAAGTGTCTGGCCTGTGGCATTCACTTGCAGCAATAGAAAATGGATCAAAACACATGGACCAGTGGACACTGTGAGGGTGGAAAGGATGGGTGTGTGATGAAGATGGCTGGGCTCAGACTGCAGAAATGGAGAGGTGTGTGGAAGGGTCTACATTGGGTCAGTATCCAGGTACGGCAGGGTCATGGGGTAGTTCTCCAGGGTCATCACTAGGACAGAGTTCTCCTCTTACCAGTCCAGACTCCATGCAGTTAGTCAGCATGACCTCCCATACCAGATGCCAGAAGTCACTCACAGTGTGGGGCAGGGGGCCCTGTGCTGCAATGAACTCCTTGGGGCTCCAGAGACTCTGGTTTGAGAGAGCAGGCATGTCATGGGCAGGTGACTAAATTCACATTCTCCACATAGCAGATAACAATTGTCTTTAATTTCAGTATTAAGAAATCTGATGCCCTCTTCTGACCTCTGTGGGCATTGCACATATGTGATGCACTTAGATATTTGCAGGTAAAATACTCACACATTAAATAAATAAATAAATAAACAAATAAATAATAAATAATAAACAAATAAGCACAGTGGAGGCTGGAGAGATGGCTCAATGATTAAGAGCACTAGCTGCTCTTACAGAGGACCCGGGTTCAATTCCCAGCACCTCCATGGCATTAACTGTCCAGGGGAGTTATGTAAATTCCAGGGGATCCAAACTCCTCTTCTGACTCTGTGGGCATGGTAGGAGATGGCTGCACTTACATATATGCAGGCAATACACTCATATACATGAAATAAAAGTAGTAAATAAGAACAAAGTGGGTCTGGGCATGTGGCTCGGTAGACAAAGTGCTTGCTGGGCATGCATTAAGTCCTAGATTTGATTCCAGCACCACACAAAACTGCATGTGCTGAAACATTGTCATCAGAGTGCTGGGGAGGTGAAGGCCAGAGAACCAGAAGTTACACAATCATCTGTAGCTACACAGGGACAACCTGGGCTACGTGAGACAGGGTCTCCCTGGAGCCCCAGCTGACTTGGAACTCATTATGTACAGCACGCTTGCCTTGAACGCCCAGAGAGCCGCCTGCCTCTGCCTCCCAAGTGCTGGGATTAAAGGTATACTCCATCATGTCCAGCATAAAAGATATTTTTCTAAAAGAAATGGAAGAGGCTGGAGAGATGGCTCAGTGTTTAAGAACACTGGCTGTTCTTATAGAAGAGTTTGAATACCAGCACCCACATGGCAGCTAACAACGGTCTGTAACTCCAGTTCCAGAGGATCTGACAGCCTCTTCCGTCCTTCATGGGCATTGCATGACATGGGTGCACTTACTTATATTCAGGCAATACACGCATATACATAAAATAAAAATAATGAAATATTTTTTAAAAAATAGAAAGGACAGTCCTACAGGCCCAGAGACAGGCTGGATCTGTGATCTGCATGATCCTGCCCAGAAGCTCCACACAGCCACCAAGCCAATACTTTGCTTTCAGCGTTGGAGTGGAGAACCTCACCCCAAGTCTACGTCTACTTGCCTGAATGAGCTTCACAATCTTGGTATAAATACACGCTGTCTAAACAAACAAGCAAAAATCCCAAGCACCCAAAACTTTGGGGCCAAAGAGATGGTTCAGAGGCTAAGAGTACTGGCTGCTCTTCCAGAGGCCTGAGGTTCAGTTCCCAGCACTAACATAGCAGCTAACAACAGTCTGTAACTCCTGTTTCAGGGGATTCAACCCTTTTCTGGCTTCTATGGACATTACACACACGTGGTGCACTTACAGATGTGCAGGCAAAATACTCATATACATAAAAGAAAAATAATATTTAAAACTTTTAAAAGAAAAAGAAGCAGGTATATATTTCTGTTTCTGCTTAATCCAGAAGGATGTCAGTGGAGACTGTCAGGGCTGGGCTTGGGAGCTAGTTGGCTGCCTCTGTTCTCCCCCCACCTGAGTTTCTGTCCTTCTGGGTTTTTTTTTTTTTTTTTTTGACGTGGTCAGCAAAGTCTTTGGTGAGGCTATATCCTGGGAATCTGTGGTGGGGACAAAGGGAAGAAAAGACTTTAACCAACTTGAGTCTTATGATTTCAGGATAAAACAGTGTGATTTTTGTGGACCAATGAGACTTCTGAGTTTATCTACAGGAGACCTGGGAGGAAAGCCTCAAGGAGACACCTGTACACCCTTAATCATAGTAACGCTGGTCACAGTAACCCAAAGGTGCAGGCAACCCAAGCCTCCGTCAGTGGCCTGACAAGGTGGTACACACTTGTAATGCCAGCACTCAGGAGACTGAGACAGGAGAAGCACCAAGAGTTTAAGGCCAGTATAGAAAACATAGTGAGTTCAAAACCAGTCTAGACTACATACTGAGTTCAAGGCCAGCCTAGACCAATGAAAGAGCTGTGGCTGGTGCAGAGAGCACACTCCCTCCTGAAGCCTCCGTGAGGGAACCCACTGGCTCTGCCCTCTGCCCTGTCAGTGACCAGCATGCACTCTGACTTGCCTGACGGCGATTCTTCCCATGCTCCCACCCCTCTGCTCACCTGAACTCCAGGTCTCTGGGAGCTTCCTTCTGCTGAGGCTTCCTTTTCCTGGAAGGACACTGGGATGTTAGGCTCAGGGCTCCAGGCCCGATCTAGAAATTCTCACCCTTCCTGTCCAGGTTCCCAAGCCCAAGCTGCAGACAGTCCTGAGGAGTCTCACCTCTTTCTCAGGAAGAAAATCAGCAGCCCCACAAGGATGAAGAACAGGAGGACGCCCACAATGGCTCTGGCAATGACCCCTGGAGGAGAAGCAAAGGGAGGCTTTCAGCCTAGATTTACCATTGCTATTATTATTATTATTATTATTATTATTATTATTATTATTATGTGTATGAGTGTTTTGTCTGCATGCGTGTAAGTGTACCCATGTCATGCAGTTTCACAGAGGTTAGAAAAGGTCATTGGATTCCCTGAAACTGAACTGGAGTTTGATTGGTTGTTAGCCACCATGTGGGTGCTGGGAATCGAACCTGGGTCCTCTACAAGAACAGCCTGTGCTCTTAACATCTGAGTCACCTCTCCAGCTTCATGAAGACAATTCTTGTTGTCTACCCATCTTTCCTATCCCTGGTGGTGTTGCTGTGTTTTGATTACTATATTCAGGGTCCCCTATGGTCAGGCTTCCTGACAGTATGGCCTTGATGCTCATGACAATAATTGCACTCATCGAGTTTCTGAGGACAAAATGCCATCACCTGGCTTTCATTATTATCCATGATGCTGTCAGTGAACTCATCTTTATGATTGTCTCTCCTACCATATGTCCTACTCTACGATGGTTAGCTACCACTGATCTTTCTAGTGATGATGGTGACCATCTCACTTGTCTTTTCCTAATGGCCTTCCTGTGGAATATATCCACTCAGTAGGGATTCCAGACTTTCATGGGGTTTTTGTCCCC